GTGTATGCTTGGCTATTTTTCATTTGTCTCAGCAGCGATATGTGGCTTTTTACCCTCTCAAAAGCAGTTTTAAGAAATGTCCGAAGTGCCGGACCATTATGTCCAAGAGTTTTCCTCATAATATGTTTATATAGTGGATGTGGGTTTCTATACATATACGTTTGTATGTATGTACATGATAGCAGTTTATGAAGCAAACTCGGAATTGCTGACAATGAAAGCACTTATTTTGAGCATTCAGAGAACGGCTGCATTAAGGTAGCCTGTTGTGCACTGGCACTGGATGCATAAGGTAGACTCATTGTTCTGTTCGTCTGGTGTTGTATCAGTACAGGTAATTTGTAGATCTGTCGTCCAGAGAATGAGCTGGTGGTAAGTCGAGGTCTACTGCCGGTGGAGGCACATAGGATCGCGTTATCACTGATGGCGCCCCACTTCCTGAAAAAAAAAAAAGAAATCACGCAGTACGCGATTCACAGTCTGCTAAAGAAATTAGCGTAATTGCTTACACAAAGTTCAGAATCCTTAGTCTTATTGTATCTTAGACGACACATGACAACATCATTGCATTCTAGCATCTGTGGAAGTGTGCTTGAAAAGTGTTAGGACATGTTTGAGTGCCCGTCTGAGATCCCACTTTCAGATTTGATAAAAAATTCGAGACCTGTCATTGACATTATCCTTTGTTCGTCTTCCAGTGCCTCCTGGTCCTTCATCTTTCTCCGCCTGTGTGAGATGCCGTATCGAACTAATGCCATTAAACAAATGCTGATCAGTAAGATCGTCATGATAATTGCTGCAAATCTGTCGTACGTCAAACATAGAATTAGCTTTTCTTGGGGTTTAAATCCTGGAGTCACCCTGGCCACTGTAGTTCCACCACGTCCGTAGTTAGTGAAACACGCTGACCAAAACATTTCAATAACACATACCTAAAATAATCCAGCCGACAAGCGAGAGCGCGGTGCCGGTTAGTGGGAGAGGCGTATCATTGGCAGCACAGTAATCAACGGCTCGTAATGGAGTTCCAGTTGGAGGGCAACCGTTAACATTGCCAACGCAAGCAGCCACGCATCCAGGTTTATCAATGTCAATATCAACGTTTTTTCGCAGATAATCTCGGAACCATTCCAGCGCCGAATTGCAC